AAAAAAAGGCCCGACGTTAGCCTTATATCCTTTTCGGTTGCCAGCTTCTCACCATAGCTCCACAAAATGAGACCTCATGACATCAAAAAGCAACCAGATTTCGACCTCCTCCCGCGACCCAGGAGGGCTGGCTGGCAAGCTCACTGGCCCAAGCATCACATCCAAGCTCACGCTAGGATGCAGAGTGAACGAAACGGCTTCTAACCATGCAAACTCAATTTGCTCTCACCACCAGCACATCCCCCCAATTCTTCCCTGTCATTGCTGTCAACTCAGGCCACAAGCAGACGAAAAAACAAAACAAAATAAAATAAAATAAAACCAACCGACACATCAAACAAAGGGGTTTTACCAATTCAGGCAATGAATCAACCCGCGAGAAACCTTGGTCAGTTGCATGGTTTCCAAGTTGGTCGGGTTGAACTGGTGGGTCGTTGAGAGCTAAAGCTAGCTGGGATCAGTGGCACGTCACAGATAGGTCCACGGTTCGATTGGCCGGCTGCAGGGGACAAGTGCAGGGCCCGACATCCCCAGGCTTTGGCCCGGTGGCCCAGGCTTGGAGGGGCCAGGTGGAGTTCTGGCGCCGGGGGAGCGGTCGCTGTGGCCCATCGCCGGCCATGGTCTCTGGAGTGGTTGGACCATGGGGCAGGACCACGGACGCGGGGGCGGGCAGGGTGCTGGTATGGAACTGGAGCCTACCGCCTACCGCAAACCACCTACCGCAAACCGCAAACCACAGATGGGGTGAGCCAGCCAGGTGGGACTGTGGGAGAAGAAGAAGGTATCGCGGCCAGATTGGGCCTGGTATCGTATGGTACGAATGCGGTCACTCTTGGCGTCTCTGGGCAGTGCTGGCGCTGCCAGGTATGTAACTCTGGCCGCCGCAACAAGCGCAATAGTTGCATCAACGATACAGCCCTGTACCACCCCTCCAGGCATCCCTCCTCCTGCTGCTCCTCTCCTCCTCTTCTCCTCTCCTCCTCTCACGCTTTCACGCTCCGCTCTCTTTCCTCCGCCGTCCCGTCTCACTAGCTCCCGCTCGCATATCTATCTCCATCTCCCCTTGCTTTATCTCCCTTGTATCTTGATGCTCTCTTGTCTCTTTAGCTCACTCTCATTCGCCATCCTGTCTACAGTGTAGAGTATCCTCCTATCTTACCACGCGTTGTTGGTCTGGCCCCTCTTTGGGCTCTTTTATCCTTGGGCTGTACAGACCGTTTTTAAATTGCTGAATATGCTTTTGCTTTAGCTCCCTCCCTTATCTTCTGATCTTCTGCAGGCTGAGTTCTGTTGGGCAATTGTGGGCCTGGTGATTCTGGTGATTCTTCTACCTCTCCAGCCCATTGCTTTGCCACTCCTCTTTGTTGGCTTTGTGAGTATCGGAATCCCTCTACATCTAGGAATATCGAACATCATCACCCTTCTAACAAACTACACAACATATGCGACAGGGACTTTGGAACTCGATCTGGTTTTCATCTCCGCCGCTTATTTCTCACTCGTTGGATAAGGATCACGGAGTTGGCCTTACTTCTTCCATTCTTCTGGTGTTGTTGACTACAAAAGCTGTGCGCAAAGAAGAAAATCATTATATACCAAAGGCCAAGTTTGTAGACGATGTAATCGTCATACGGTGCACTTGGACAAGGCCTTCCGTCGAAACGGACAAATTATAGACCGCCCG